GGCTTTTCTTTCCTTTCTGGGTCTTTCTGATTCTGGGTCTTACAGATACAATAGTCTGTTATTTCTATTTCACAAGAACTAGATAACATGTATGTAATCCGTTATTTCTGTTTCACAAGAGCTAGATAACATGGATGATTGAATTATCAATTATGTGTAGGTCTTATACTCTTATTTAAGTTAGAAAGGGGGTGTTATACGTTAGCATTAGAATAATGTACAATGTTAACTTTTTTATAATAAAATAAACAAATAAATACTAAAATTAAAATGGAAAAGAAAACAAATTTAATAAGGGTCGTATAGTGATTTTAAGTCGGTTAAGGAGCAAAGACACAACAATAAAGTAATCCGTCCAAGTTAAAAAAAAATCAAGGTCCAAACGTTCTAATAACCTCAAACCACATGGACCATTCATATAGTTTACTCTCTCTCTCTCTCTCTCTCTCTGTATATATATATATATATATATATATATATATATATATATATATATATATATATATATATATCTATATATATATATATATATATATATATATATATATAGGCTTATGTTATTCTATTCAAAGTAATTATTGTGTTATTGTATGCATAACTGTGGGCCAATCAATTTTATTATTTTAAGAAAGTGATTAATATATATTATTGAATTAAATGTAATTGAAAAATATCATCTAATTTAATTACAAGGGTATTTTAGTCAATTAATATAGATTTAATAAAGGAAAATTGCATATTTTAAGGGATCATAGATTCTATTAATTTAAAAAATCCGATTTTACGAATTATAATTATTTTAATTCGGACATTCTGACATAATATGTTTATTTATTTAATTATTTACTCAAAAATATAAATATTCTTGAACCATAAATAATAAAAATATTCTTGAACCTATTTCTTGATCATGACTTTAAGAACTTCTTGTAGAATAACAAATTCTTAAACAATCAATTGAAGAATAAAAATAAAAAATACATTATTTCTTATAGAATACGGGTAACAATTGTTAAGAATTACATTTATTGTTAAAGAATAAAACCAAAAAAAATTCAAAACGGGAAAGAAAACATCAAAATCTAACAACGACTAATACATTCTAAAAGAATAATGTGGTCTGTTTCAATTTTGTGGTCCGTTCTTCAAGCATCAACTTCTGTGATTCCAACAAAATTGGAATTCGTGATTCCATTCCAACAGAATTGGAATACGTGATTCCATTCCAATAGAATTGGAATCTCACCAATATCTTCCATTGAATCATCTACATAAACATACTTGATACCTTTTTATAATTCAACTTTTTCAAGATCTTGCACTGTCAACATAAATGAAGTGTTAAATCAGCAAAAAAAACATAAATTGAAATTTGAATAAATTCATAAAATGAGGGGATGTTAATGGTGCATTGTGATCATGAGAATCCAAGAATGACACATGGGGCTGATGAAGAACAGCTAATGAGTCGTATGGTCCATTCGAAAGTGACAAAAAACCATCTGGTGGACTTTCTAATGCCAACACAGTAAGATCAACATCTGTTTCTGCTTTCTTTTGCTTCGGCTTCTTGGCTCTTGGGACAAAATGAGTTCTCCCATCTTTGGTTTCCAACTCCACTAACAAAAACAAGTAATAAACATCAGATGTATAGAAATTTGATTTGAACAATTTAGATACGAAACACCAACAATATCAGCAATATCGTTCAACCAGACATGCCCAATATCATTTCTCAGTAATTTTTTCATATGAAATCCATCAACCGAATCAATGCCTAATTAAAAAAACAAATTTTTTTGAAACAAATTAACAAAAGATACTATTTTAAATATTTATGTCATTCAGAAGCACTGTAACAAAAAAACAAACTGAATGGGGGAATAAAAGGTATTAAAACCCTAGATGGTAGTCTCAAAATCTATTGAATTTTTTCAAATTAGAGACTGATTTGCGTTTTTGTTGAATATGGGAACCGAGCATTGTATAATTAGAACCCAAAGTTTACCAAACACATACCTTTAAATTGAACTCCTAATTTGATAGACAGCATAGATGTTGACTTGAGGGCGTTAGATCTTCAACGTCGTCTCTCTGGTTGAGGATTTGGTGAAACAGGAAAGAAAAATAGAACATGGGATAGAGCGGTAGGGAAAACGGTGATTGTACTGGCGGATGTTGGTGGTGAGAGAGATCGAAGTTTTCTTGAATGAACAGAGAAAGAAACGAATTTAAAGGTACCAGTAAAGGAAGATTGGGTGGGAGAATAGGAACATTGGCGTCGTTTCCAAGGTTACACGGGATGAGAGAAGCCTTCCACCGGAGAAGCAATGCCAGCAGACGAAAAAGCAATGCCACCGGAGAAGCTCGCTGATGATATCCGTCGCATACATCGACCTCTTCCGCCATGATCGCCCCCTGGATCGGTGTTGTCCCGATGCTTCTTCCCTCTGCACCTCCTCGCGATTTCCCAACTATCACAGAAACTCCGTCGACATGCACTGTTCCTTCATTTTCTGTCTAGGGATTTAAAGCTGTAAATGGAAACGATTTTGCCTAAAATAAAGGGTTTATGATTTGAATAATTAATTACCAAAATTAATTAAAAGCTAAGATTACAATTTTAACCCTATCCAGGTTTTTAAAATGATTGGTCCACATTTATACATACAATAACACAATAATTAGTTTAAACACCTGAACCTATATATATATATATACATATATATATATATATATATATATATAAAAGTCCATTCGTTATTAATTTAATGTCATAAATATAAAACTATTATAAAGTCCTATCGTTATAAATTTAATGTCATAAATATAAAATTATTATAGTTTAACGGACGTTCTAATGTTTTGAGCCTAAAATGTGGTTAGTATATCACCAATATACAAAGATATAAACAAAGACTTTCCATACAATCTTGATCACAATCATTTAAAATTGATTTTCTATACAATCTTGATCACAATCATTCAATTTTAAATGCAATCTTGATCACAATCATTTAAAACTGGTTTATGAGATACCAAAATACTAAGAGTTTTGACTCCAAGTTGTGGATCAAAAAAACGACATAATTGATAGAAAAATGTATGACCTTTTTTTCATTTTAAATATTCAATAATATGTTCTATATATAGTTTCATGTAATTCGGTAACAATTTAAATCTTTCTGTAATTACTGTGGTTCCATATATAGTTTCATGTAATTGGGTAACAATTTAATTCTTCCCGTAATTCTTAGGGTTCCATATATAGTTTCATGTAAATCGGTAATAATTGGGTGGGAGAATAGGAACATTGGCGTCATTTCCAAGGTTACACGGGATGAGAGAAGCCTTCCACCGGAGAAGCAATGCCAGCAGACGAAAAAGCAATGCCACCGGAGAAGCTCGCCGATTATATCCGTCGCATACATCGACCTCTTCCGCCATGATCGCCCCCTGGATCGGTGCTGTCCCGATGCTTCTTCCCTCTGCACCTCCTCGCGATTTCCCAACTATCACAGAAACTCCGTCGACATGCACTATTCCTTCATTTCTGTCTAGGGATTTAAAGCTGTAAATGGAAACGATTTTGCCTAAAATAAAGGGTTTATGATTTGAATAATTAATTACCAAAATTAATTAAAAGCTAAGATTACAATTTTAGCCCTATCCAGATTTTTAAAATGATTGGTCCACATTTATACATACAATAACACAATAATTAGTTTAAACACATGAACATATATATATATATATATATATATATATATATATATATATATATATAAAAGTCCAATTTGTTATTAATTTAATGTCATAGATATAAAACTATTATAAAGTCCTATCGTTATAAATTTAATGTCATAAATATAAAATTATTATAGTTTAACGGACGTTCTAATGTTTTGAGCCTAAAATGTGGTTAGTATATCACCAATATACAAAGATATAAACAAAGACTTTCTATACAATCTTGATCACAATCATTTAAAATTGATTTTCTATACAATCTTGATCACAATCATTTAAAACTGGTTTATGAGATACCAAAATACTAAGAGTTTTGACTCCAAATTGTGGATCAAAAAAACGACATAATTGATAGAAAAATATATGACATTTTTTTCATTTTAAATATTCAATAATATGTTCTATATATAGTTTCATGTAATTCGGTAACAATTTAAATCTTTCTGTAATTACGGTGGTTCCATATATAGTTTCATGTAATTGGGTAACAATTTAACTTTTCCCCTAATTCTTAGGGTTCCATATATAGTTTCATGTAAATCGGTAATAATTTAACTCTTCCTGTAATTCCCTTTGACTTTCTTTTCTCAAGATTTTCTATACAATCTTGATCACAATCATTTACCAAAATACTAAGAGTTTTGACTCCAAGTTGTGGATCGATCAAAAAAACCACATAATCAGTACAAAAATGTATGACATTTTTGTCATTTTAAATATTCAAAATATGTTCTATATATAGTTTCATGTAATTCGGTAACAATTTAACTCTTCCTGTGATTCCTATGGTTCCATATATAGTTTCATGTAATTCGGTAATAATTTAATTTTTTCCTGTAACTCCCTTTGACTTTCTTTGCTGAAGATTCAATAATATGGCTCCATCTATAGTTCCATGTAATCCAGTAACAATTTACTCTTAATTCCCTTTGACTTTCTTTGCTGGACGAATGAATGACGAATGTTCAAACTATATTTTTATTGAGTTATATCCCCTTGCCGGACCCTTTAATTTCAACGTGGCATCACAACATTGCATCTAATTTTTCAAAAACTTCTAGAGTTGGAATATGATATCTTATGCCTGTATAAGTATGCAAAAAGAATTATTCAACGGTAAAGAATAGTATTTCTACATCGACTATTAACTTTGGCGGGAGTTTAATTAAGTAGCTAGGCCAGATTAGAAGGTTTACATTCGCTTTGTTTATAAATTGCATGTCTCACACCATGCATTCCATATCACAAAAATGGCAATTACCTATTCTTTCAACTTCCAATCTTTCATTTTTCCTCTCCTCCTTGTGTTGCTCACTACCCATTCCTCAGCAACATCAACTTCCATTACAGATCGCTTCACCCAATGTCTAAACAACCAATCCGACCCTGCTTTTCCGATCAGTGGACAACTTTACACACCCGGTCACTCTTCATTTCCATCAGTCTTGCAAGCTTACATCCGTAATCTTCGATTCATTGAATCCACGACTCCCAAGCCCATCTTAATCATCACCGCCTTACACCCTTCACACATTCAAGCAGCTGTTGTGTGCGCCAAAACACACCGCCTGCTAATGAAAACCAGAAGCGGAGGCCATGATTATGAGGGGCTTTCCTATGTGACCAATTCGAACCAACCCTTTTTCGTTGTTGATATGTTCAACTTACGCTCCATAAACGTGAGTATTGAAGATGAAACTGCATGGGTCCAAGCTGGTGCGACTCTTGGTGAAGTCTACTACGGAATAGCCGAGAAAAGCAACAGCCATGCTTTTCCGGCTGGCGTTTGCCCTACTGTTGGAGTTGGTGGCCATTTTAGTGGTGGTGGTTATGGTAACTTGATGAGAAAATATGGCCTTTCTGTTGACAATATTGTTGATGCTCAGTTAATCGATGTGAATGGCAAACTTCTGAATCGGAAATCCATGGGTGAAGATCTTTTTTGGGCCATCACAGGTGGTGGTGGTGTCAGCTTTGGTGTGATTGTAGCTTACAAGATCAAACTGGTTCGTGTTCCTACCACTGTGACCGTTTTTAACGTACAAAGAACCTCCGAGCAGAACCTAAGCACCATAGCCCACCGATGGATACAAGTTGCTCATAAGCTCGATAATAACCTTTTCCTTCGAATGACCTTCAACGTGATAAACAACTCAAATGGCGAAAAGACGATACTTGGTTTGTTTCCAACACTGTACCTCGGAAACTCTACACCTCTTGTTACCCTCCTGAACAAGGATTTCCCAGAATTAGGGGTACAAATTTCACACTGTATTGAAATGAGTTGGATCGAGTCTGTTCTTTTCTACACAAACTTCTCCATTGGTACTCCGACCACTGCTCTTCTAAACCCATTCAAGATCAAATCTGATTATGTAAAAAACCCTATTTCCAAAAAGGGATTCGAATCCATATTCGAAAAGATGAAAAAACTCGAAAACCAAATGTTAGGTTTCAGCCCTTAAGGTGGACGAATGAGCGAAATTTCCGAATTTGCAAAGCCTTTTCCCCATCGATCAGGGAACATAGCGAAGATCCAATACGTAGTAAACTGGGATGAACTTGGCGTTGAAGCAGCGAATCGGTACTTGAACCTCACAAGGGTGATGTATGATTACATGACTCCGTTTGTTTCTAAGAACCCCAGGGAAGCATTTCTGAACTACAGGGATTTGGACATTGGTTTCAACGGCCATGGTAAGAATGCTTACGTTGAAGGAATGGTTTATGGGCACAAGTATTTCAAGGAGACGAATTACAAGAGGCTAACGATGGTGAAGACGAGGGTTGATCCTACAAATTTCTTTAGGAATGAGCAAAGTATCCCAACTCTGTCATCTTGATGGAAGTAAATTGACGTGTGCAAGTCAATAAGAATATGGCTTTTTCAAGGTTATGACATCCAGATTCAGATGAGATTGATATAATTTTGACTTGTATTTCATACAAACAAAATTATATTATATTTTTCTGAAATTCGATTTTCCGTCTTTGAAAAAACATACGAACATTGATGTTGATTTTTTTAAGCATTATATATCTTGAACATTTTGAATGATGAATAAACTAATGAGTTCCTTGGTTTTTTTATAAGTTTGTAATAGTATGTGTTTAATCAAGATAAATACTCATACTTACACTACTAGAGAAATAAATTTACCTACGAGACGGAAATAATTCCATGGGAGATTACCGACGGAATTGCCCTAATTTAGTGACGGAAAAAACACTTAAACCTTTAAGTTCACATGCAATCTAGAAATGATCTATGTTTTCTCTATTGATAGCAATAATCTGTGAACATCAAGAAACTCTAGAGAGAGGTTATGAAAATCGAAATTAACATAAAGATTAAGGTTATATACCTTTTGATTATTATATATAGCAAATAATCAAATCAAATCCTTTTGAAGTTCCTTGGAAAGCAAGCACCAAAAAAATCATGCCTCTAATGGCTCACACCCAAAATATCAAAACCCTAGAATGGGGAGGAGTGAGGAGATATGAAGAGAATTTCGTTCTTATGCCTTTAGTTAATGTGTTGAATGAAAATTGCAAGCCAATGGGTCCTATTTATAGTTTAAGTAACTTCCAGGCAAAACAAAATTTGAATTAATTAAATAATAGATTTAATCCTAATTTAAATTAATTTCTTTTATTCAACCAGGAGGCTTCCAGAAACCCTAGGAAACCCTCCAAAATCGTCCATACCATGGAGGGTCTATACCATGGAGGGTTCTAGAATTGCTTTTTTTGTTCAACTATTGAACAATTACAATTCATCCTTGCACATTTAATTAATTTCAATTAATCTCAAATTAATTATAGATTAATTCTGATTAATAATTAAAAAATTGTAATTGATTTCACATTAATTTATTAATCATATAAATTAACAAATCAATCATTTAACAATTGATCTCATATTAATTTATTAATCACATAATAAATTAACAAATCAAATGTCTATTTCTGATTAATACATTAATCACATAATATATTAACAGATCATTTGTACATAATTTCCAATTAGTTTATTAATCATATTATAATCTAATAAATTATACTTCTATATCCTAATATTATTTCTAGCTATTTCTAGTCATGATGGCAACCCAAAAAGAACTTTGCTTCTAATTCAAAAATATACCAATTTAGTTACTGGCTTAGACACCTTATTTCAACAGTCTTCCACTTGGATAAGTCTGTAACTACAAGTGCAAATATAGACCTTGAACTAAACATCAAAGAGTGCTTTCCAAAGTCACTGCCGAACTCTGATTCAAAACAAATGTTGGCCCTAAGATAAGTGATTAACTATTCCTTCGTTCTACAAGATATCGTATGAACTGAGTCATGGATTCAATGATCAACCTCATGTTCTTTTATTATGTTTCCCGATTTCTCGATTTATGATTAGTTTAGACTACAAAATTGAACACATCAATTTAGTCCGAACTAGGCGCCTGGTTTTTCATAGACTAACTCAAATCACTGAGTGGCGCACAAATATCACTTTTCGTTATTCAGGCAAAAAAATGAATTACGTTGACTAATATAGTCATAAAATTTACATATCAAATCACTCATGGAATAACTGTCTATAACATCCAGTTATGAGATGCGTTTGAGCAAACCATTACACAAATGATCTGTAAATTATGAAATATATATCCGCGCTTTAAGAATAGAAGTATTATCGTCTTAGAATTACTTGTGATTGAATCCATGAAGTAATCTCTAAGCGTGGGTTTGTTCAATACTTAAAATCTCTATTTTCAAAGTACCATGAATATTGTAGCAATTTCAATTTCAATGTCTTAACCTCAATCGACAATCTACAATCAATTCATGACAATCTTAATTCACTACTTACTTCCAAAAGTATAAACGGCTGTGGAAATTTGAATAATATTAAAATTACCGATGGAAGTAAAACATGGAAAGTGAAACACAATAATAAATTAATTAACTATGGTATCATACTCATTGATCATAAATAAATCCTTATTATTTAATCACCATAACAAGTACAAATTTATTCATAATATATTGTTTCGTGTAATCAACTAACAACTTGAATTAGATAAAATTAGTCATGCCATGTTATGAATATGCATACTATTCCTCTCGATGGTCCATCCTTTGTGAATAGATCGATTGGATATTACTCCAATGATGATCATTTCACAATTCAAATTCTTATCGATATCTAAGATGTAATGGAATTTCATCTTTACATGCATTGTCTTTCTGTGATGCCAAGGTTGTTAATTCGTAGAGACTGGACGTTCGACATTAGATAATGTTCTACTGGAACTTGTTACTAGAAACAAGTTCATGGTTATGAAGTCTCATATTCAATATACACTCCTTGAACACTTCTTTTGCATTAAAGTTTCCAACTCACATGTAGATTTTGCAAACACGCCCCATTTTGGAAACATTTCCATATTCCCATATGACCATCAATTCAGACCAAGAATCATCTCAATCCAAAACGTGTCACTATGGTCCTTCTAAATAATGTCATACTTCTGATTGTCCACACGCAACCAATCTTCGGTAAAGCCTCAGAATGTTCTTTACAATTTGTTTAATACCTGTAGTCACATGACATTCTAATCCTTTTCACACAATTCTAAAAGCATTTGCAAAATAGAATAATCGAATATTATAACTGTACAATCTAAACCATTAGATTTGTAACAAAGTATGAGTGCCATCTCCCTTAAGTCCACTATAGTGAAACATTTTCTAAACTATGATGCAATTTGCTAACACATAGACATTTTTTCCTACGAACAGTATTGTCAACATGTAATACCATTAGATTTGTAACAAAGTATGAGTGCCCTCTCCCTTAAGTCCACTATAGAGAAACATTTTCAAAACTATGCAATTTGCTAAAACATAGACATTGTTTCCTACAAACATTATTGTTAACATGTAATACCAGCATAACATTTATGCTCCCACTAGCTTTGACAAGTACTCAGAAATCAACTGGACTTCTAAAAATCAATATCATTTGACATTCTCATGGAAGTGCATATTCCTATTTCACAATGCTTCTTCAAGCCTCTAATTCGGCTTCTTAAGTTTATGCAATTTATGCGGATAGTGTATGTGTTCAAACCTTTTCAAGACGTGATAAACATATATCCTTAAAGTTTAAACAATTCCTTGCCATTCCTCACAATTTGAAATATTAAGAGGGATGTCGTAATCATATTGTGAATTTGAGAATGCAATTAATACAACCGATATCTGTATTGATCTTTATTAGATACTTAAAATCTACTAGTGAAAGTATTTACTCATAACCATTTTCATGAATTAGAGTGAAACCTTTCTGTCACCTAGATTCGAAGGTGCATACATTCCCATCGATGTAGAACTCTCATTTCCAACCTACAGTCATAAGAAAAGTTTTAAGGCAAACCAAAATCACATATAGTTCTCCTTTATGGACTGAACTTCGCTTAATCTAAATTTATTGCTTGATGGAAACTCAAAAGGCCCACCAGTGCTTCCATGTTGTCAGCAGCTCACCCATGTTGATTAGTGTACTTTCAGTAACCAACGTGCTTATCCTTTTGTAGTTAAATGAAGAACATATAACTCATAGACATTGGCCACTCAACTGGAAGTTAACATAAATTAGAATGTGTCAATAAACACAACAGGTTATCAACCTCAGGTCACTTGCTAGTGATAACTAAAAGGATCATTGTCAGTTGACTCTTGAAAATCTCAAGATCAATACGAATCCCACTGACTTCTTGACATATAAGTTTTATCTCAAAATCATTCATTGACGAGCTAAAACCAATTTTCAAAAGTTTGTATGAATTTCCAAAAAGAAAACACTTCATAGAATAAGTCTCAATTTATCTTTTGTTTTCGATCAAAGAAACATCACAACTCCAATTCTAAATGTGCTAGAGTAAGAAAACATTATTACTCCACATATTACGAAGTGTTATCATCCCTCTTAATTTGAAATGAGTTTCAAGATACGATTCATAGTTACTAGAGCATCGCTCTAAAACTTGATTGGGAACAAAGTATGACTCATCTTTTAATCGAACCATTTCTGACAATGTTAGATTCCTCTTCTTAGTCATAAAATTACACTAAGATGTCCTTGGAGGATTAATTGTGATACAACTCCATGATTACTAAGATGATCATAAAACATGATACTAAAAAACCCTCCTTTCTTTTCATATTGGAGAATCTTTTATCTTTCTGCCTAATAGATTTTCCATTCATTCTGCTACTCATGAACTTTTCAAAAGTATTAGAATTATGTTTATCTTATAAATAAAACCATATTTTCTGAAATATCAATAAATCATGACGAATAGATTTATTGTCCCTTGTGTGGATCTGAAGAGTGCATATCAACACGTACTAGATCCAATAGTCTTTCACTTGCCTTACATAAACATGTGAACAATGGTTTAGGTCATAATTTTCCAATGAACAAGATTCTAATATATAATACAATTCGAATTGTACAATTCCAAATATCTATTTAGTTGGTGATGAGATTTCTTTCCACTTGGTTAAATATGACAATAACATAAGTGATATCATAAGAATCAAATCCTCAATTAATATTGCTATTATTAGAAACATAACCAACACTTTCATTAATGTCATTTCAAGGAAATAAGATAAGCAAACTACGTATACCAAAACATCGCTTTTATTTGAAATAAATGAAAATTTTGGAATTTCTCCTTACAATGCATGAAATGAAAAGTATATTTCTAAACATCTTCAAAAATATTAATAGCAATCTATTAAATTTTCCTAATTCCCTATAAGTAGC